GGGATGCGGATTCGAACCCGCGACCCTCAGATTGCGAGTCGAGCACCTTATCCACCTGGCCATGCCGGGCCTTAAATCTCGTAACAGTATCAGAGCATAAATCGCGACAGCAGACCTATCTATATTTTATGGTATTTATGATATTGTACAATTATGCACGTAATATCCAAATAATAATTCTATTTAGAAACATTTAAATATTTTATTGTATGCTGGCTTAATTACAAGCCAGCTTATACATGGAATACTAACTGTCAATGATACAAACTATGATAATTTTTCTAAAAAAATATAAATTAATAATATTAATAAGACCCACATCGAATACATTCTGTAATTTCCTGCATGGGATGAAAAATATTGAAAAACTCTTGTAAAAACACGTGTTCCTATAACACATTTAGAATTAACTTGAAAAAAATGCATGAAATCAAAACGAAACATAAGCGACTTTGTTGGAAAGGAGAATGGGATATCAAAATCTGTCTCTAAAGTTAAATGATGCATAAGTTAAATCTAGCGAAGAATTAAGACCCACAGAACACATTAGGATATCAATGTTAAGACCGCTAATGGTCTTTAACCCTCCGATTACGAAAGCTCGGCCAGTCTAACGCCCTCTGATACGAGCAAACATCAGTAGCTTATAGCAACCAGAATGCAACTGAAATGGCATGCTTTGTGTTGTAAAGTAATTTAAGTTGTCAGAGGAGTCGTAAACAGAATAATGTGTAATCAACTTAAACTATAATAACATTACTCCATGTTCTCTAAGTATCCAGTATATTATCTTTTTATAGCTCTGATGTGTTTATTCTGTAAGTATAAATACCTATATATATTAAGTTTGATCGTATTTCTCAAATGTTAAACATTCCATTGTACTGTAGTTTCCTTTGAAGCTGTTACACAGGTGCTATAACAAGTTTAAGATATCTAGGCTCCCTACTCTTTATTGTTGCGAGTTAAGTTTGCAATATCTGGCTTCCTTCTCTTTGTTGTTGGAAGTTAAGTTTACCGTATCTGGTTCCCTTACTCTCTATTGTTGCAAGTAAGAACATTTCATTATATATGTTCAAACAAACAAACTAGGCTAATATACTATTAAAATTTAGCTTTCGCCGTTAAGATTTACAGAAGTTTCATTGTTGAAATGTGTGTTGTTTTGTGTATGTCTCTTTCTACCAAAGAATTCAATAGTTGTTTTACGTGTTGTTAAAGTGAGGATGAGACATTGTATATTAAAGATAAACACGTATAACGAGAGAAGCTAAAAACCTAATAAAGTGGGTTCTAACTTATCCAGTGTTAACATTAAGCTAAAGGAAATTGGTTTGTATTTTGCGACTTGGAAAGCGTTTAATAGACAAGTACACTTTTGCTAATCGTTCCTACTTCCGCAGAAGTTTGGTTAGGGAGCTTGACTCCCAGTATGCGGGTTTTGGGTTCAAAACCTAACACCGAACGTGCTCGCCCTTTAAGCTGTAAGGGCATCATAATGTGAAATCAATCCCACTATTCGTTGGTAAACGAGTAGCCCAAGCGTTGCCGATGAGTGGTGTTGACTAGCTAGTCTATCACTTCTAAATTAAGGATGGCTAGCGCAGATAGCCCTCAAGTAGCTTTGCGAGATATTCAACAAACTTACGCAAAAACGTATTTTGCAGGTAAAGCCTGTATATTTATTTATTTATTTATTTATTTTTTTGCAGATGATCTAAGAGTTGTCTCAAAAGCTTTTTAAACCTCTTTTACATTTTCAAATAATAATAACATGTATAAGAACATGTTAGGTTTGATCTAGAAGTGTTATACATACAAGAACAAAAGAACGGAATTGATATACATATCTATCTATTAACAACGGTAATTGAAATATAAGTATTTGGAACTTGTTACTATCTCTGTTTACAATTGGATGTGAGAATGATGCAACGATATTTCTTAGAAATCGATATAACATTTAAGGAACATGCAGATTGGGGCTAACTTATGTCGATACAGTGTAACAAACATTGAATCTACTAATCAATCATCGTGTCAAGTAAAGTGTATAAGATATTATCATAAATTACAGTTTTGTGTTGTTGTTCCCGTGCTGGCAGTAGCTTGTCTCCAGTAGAAGCGGCGGGGTCGCCACTGATCTGTCGCTCAGCTTGATACCTGGATTAACAAAATTGG